ATCCAATCATGTCACTCTTTTATGGTATGGTCAGAATACAGAATTCTGTAGAAAGGAGAATTGTACCAAGCAAAGAGTGCTGTGTTACCAAAGTGATAGGTGGGCATGGTGGAAAGTGGGTGTTCTTAAAAGACATGGAGGAGAATTTATCAAAACTGGAGCAGACAAAATCTGGAGCAGATGTGCATGGCAACCAATCAGCTTCTGTCTTTCATTTCCAAAGCTTAACTGAACAAACTCAAGAGTGAAGCCGATTGGTTGCTTTGAGCACCTGCTCCAGATTTTGTCCGCTCCAGTTTTGATAAATTCCCCCAATGGTTTATTGTGGCACACTTTTTCATATTCCAGCATAAGCTTATTTTGTGGCGCGAGGCCTAGGGTAGGCAACCTCAGCACTTCAGCTGTGGTGAAACTACGATTCTCATCATGTCTTTGCCTCTAGGAGTCATGCTCATGGCTGTCAGAGTATTCCAAAGCCTTGTGGGACTTGTATTCCCACAACAGCTGGAGTGCCAAGATTGCCTACCCCAGCTCTAGCCATTTAGTTCAAGGAAGTCGCAAAGGAAGTCGGTATAGAAAAATTGCTCTCTGCCAGATGCTGTGATCACAGGACTGAAAAATAAAGCAGGTATCTATAATGGCTAGCAAGTGTCACTGACTGCAGGATCCGCTCTGACTGATGTCTGAATGGCGAAGTTTCTCTGCTTGAGGCCACCAGCCCAACATACTTGATGAGTATTGACAAATGCCCCCCTGCCACCTAGCTCAGTCCTCCTCGGGCCTGTGAACAAAAAAGTGGGGCTCCCCCTTTACATTAGAGCCTCCCCTTTCACTTCAGAATCATCCCCCCTTTGACATCAGTCCCCCCTTTCACATCAGAGTTCCCCTCTTCAACATCAGAAGCCCTCTTCACATGAGAGTCACCCTGTGTGAAAAATTCAAGGCACTCCTGAGGGCATCCCAAGGTGCCATGGCACCTTGGTTGAGAAAGGCTGCCCTACAGTCTAAATGTTAGGATTTTTTTAGTGTACTGCATTTGTGTGCTTGCAGGATAAATGCACATTTATGCAGTAGGAAATTGATCATGTTTTCTATTCTATATTGTTAGAAGGTATTATGTCTGTACAATGATGTGGTCCTGAACGCAGGCCACACCAGACATATTTTTGGTGCATCCTGCTTTTGGGATCACGTATACATGTGGTTACTGTACAGTGATTGCACTACATATTAAACACACTACAACATTAAACTATAAATCCCTTTAAAGATTACATGTCTGGTATGTGCCCTGGCGGCGTGTCTGTGTAATGTATTTAAGATTGCAGATGACGTTGATCAATTAGATGATGCTATTTAAGCACAGAGGCAATGCTTTTAGTGTGCAAGGGGTGCAAGCATAGGTAGTCTTGGCTGTTTTATACTCATACTCAAAACTTACCTAAAATTAACTCAAAACTAACTGTTTGCATCCTAGTAAGTGTCTATAATTACAAACATGTAGGGCATACCAATACAACAAATAGGCATATCAAAATGTAATGAGCTGCTTCTCATGAATCTACACTCACATGACCCATGCTCTAAATAGTTAATTAGCCTTATGGTATACTTCAAAGCATGGCAATCGATGTCCTTGTCAGAGACCACCCTTAAATAGCAATGGTCTGGAACTGACGTATTTGCCTTATATAGTTGCTAGAAGAATTGTGAAGATAATCATAAGAGCTTTGTACGGTTATAACCCTTAAAATGTTCCCTGTCTCCTCTCCTAGTAAAACGTGTTGACAGAAGCCTTTGTCTGCATTGCTGTGTCGAGCCAGCTGCAGTGAATGGACAGAAAGTATGGCCAAAATAGAAAGCCACTGACAGTAGCTTTCACTTCCTAGTTGATTATAAATATGTGCATTCATTTTATAGTCTGTTGCAACATTCTATATATTTTATGACTTCCATTGTCTGTGATAGGCTGTCTATTGGTATAAAAAATGAAACTAAGCTTAAAGGC